TTCCTTACAGGTGCACCCATCAGGTTTCCCCCAGCAAAGATCCCCCTCCAGCCCAAATTCGGGGCTCACTCGTTGCGAGCATGCCAAAACACACGGCAGGCTGCAGCGCGGGGGTGGCTCTCGTCCGTCTGTCTGTCCGTCTGGGGTTTACTCGCTGTTTTGGGTTCAGTCCCGCTGGTTTTTTGGGGTTTTTTTGTTTGTTTGTTTTTTTTTTTTTCAATTCCTACCTGTTTACAGCAACGTCGGCTCCTTTTCTGGGGGTGCTGGCCGTGCCCGGCAGAGTTTGCGGAGTTTTGTGGCAATTGCCAAGCCTTTTTCTCCACTAAATTAATAAAAGTATTTTTCCAGTCGAGCGAATATTAGTCAGCGACGGAAAAACAGCTGAGCCAGCAGCCCTTGAGGTGGACGCGTTCCCTCGCCGAGCAGGTCCCCGATGCTTTGCCCGTGGCGTTTTGCTTTACCTCTGCCTTCGGCGAGCCTTTTATTTTGGGATGAGAGGTTGGTTTTGAGAGGGAAGCGGCCTCTAAGGTGAGGTGGATTTTCCTTTAGGGGAAAAACTCTTGATTTTTGGTAGGTAGAAAGCGAGAAACCACCTCCTATAAAGGTTCCCAGCGCCAGCAAATGCCCCATGTCTGTGTCACAGCTGCCAGCAAGGTGCCCAAATTCACGGCCGGTAACGGGGACAACCTCTACGCGTGGGACTCTGCAAGCGCTCGGTGGCTTCAATATCTCCGGGTGTGTGGAGCGTAAACTCCTCCTCGTCTGCGTTGTCCCCCTTGCGTCAGGGTAACCCACCAGCTCTGTGACTATTTTAGGATAATGAGGGGTCACGGATTTTTCTGCTTTTTATTTTGCTTTGCATTTTCACTCCACCGCAGTTAAACTGCCGTGGAGTTTGGCGATTATATCAGCTGCAGGTAACAGGGATCAGCGCTGTGCTTTTTGTAACCACCTCTGCTTTCCTTCTGCTCACCCATCTGCCGTTTATGCATCATCTTGCTTCCTTTTTTTTTGATGTTTTCTAGCCACGTATTTATTGTTCCTTTCTCCTGTTTCTGCCCAGCGTTTGTGAAGTGTTTGGAGGACCTTCAGCGGGGAGAAAGTTATAAAAAGACAAGTTATCGGTGAAGCAGCTTGCTGCATAGAAGGATTTTGCATACTCAAACCATCCTCTTCAAATAGGCAGCATTAGATTTACCCAACTCGGTGGTTTGCTGCCATTTTTCCGTAACCGAGGCGCACGTTGCATTAAAGGTGTCACGTTGGCACAAAAGAAAGGATGAATTTAATAGTAAGGGTTGTGCGGGGTGGACTAAACCACAGCTGCGTGTGGAGGGGGGTTAACCCCAGCCTTATTCTCTGCTGTTTTATGAAATTAATTCTGGGTGCTGCCGTTTGGGGTGGAGGTGAGCAGGGAGCCGCGAGGTTTCCGAGGGCTGGCTGCGGTCGCAAGGCGCTGAGGGCAGTGTGAGGTAACGGGGCCGGCTGCTGGCGGGCTGCGGTGATAAGAGGAGCTGGGTGAGGAGAAGGGAAATAATTTGGCTCGCTGCGGTTTCCTCCATGCATTGAGGCGACGGCTTTATCTGGGGAGGGGATGGGGCGGCTCTTGGCAGAGCTGTGTTCTCCCGGCAGCACCGTTATTTCCTTCGTTTCGCTTTCTTTATGCACATCTCCTGCCCTTGGCTGTGCACAGGAAGGTTTAGCCGTTTCTGGGTTTGAACTGATTTATGGTTGCCGGTGGTGTCTGGTGCTCTTGGTTTGGGTTCCTTGCTCCATAAGAAGGTTCTACTCTATGGCGTCATGCAAAATCCAGCCCTCGTGCGGTCTCGGCGCCTGCGTCCCTGCTCAGGTCACCTCCAGAAGAGCCCAGTCTGGTACGTGGCCAGCCTACGTGCTCGCCTTCTAAAATATGCTACAAACCAGGTAACAGAACGCAGCAAAACTCTATCAGTTTGTTTTAACAGCAGAGCGGAATGGGTCAAAAGCATATTAAGCCGTGCTGCTAATGGATGTAGAGCGAGTGCCGGGCGCTTAATTCATTGTCTGAGGTGTTAAGGCCAAATGCTCCTAAATCCAATCCCAGCAAGATGACAGAGGTAAAACCTCACTTAAACTGATTAACTTGTCTCTTCCAGAGTGTCTGCGCAGGGAAACTGCCATTTAAGATTTGCGCGTGCAGCTCGGATTTATTACAGGCTCGCTTCCTCCGCAGGCAGTGGCGTTACTGAGTCAGGCCGGGCGGGACACGTCCGGTAAGTGAGAGAAGGCGCTGGGACTCTTCCCATCGCAAGCTAACCTTAATTACTCCGCTAATGTCTTGCAAACCATGGGAGTAGAGACTGTGCGCCTTAACATAGCTTGCATAGGCCCCGTGTTTGCTTTGGAAGGGACCCAGTCTGGTGCGATACTGCCGAGGTTAAGTGTGTCGTTAATGAGAAGGTAGGAAGCTCGTGCTTGTTTCTAATCGTGTGCATTTCTCTTAATTCTGATGGCTCTGATTGCTGTCGTACGAGGTTCTTACTATTCTTGCTTTTTCTGTCTTGTCTTTGGCACCACCACTGACAATGGATCTCCACTGCTGGAGCGCATTAGCGTAATATTTCTGTGTTAATATTTCTGAGTTGCTGCAGTAAAGCAAAGTCTGTAGCGTCTTCCAGACCTTAAGACTCATCGTAATCGGGTTTTTTTGGATCTCCTTTTTGGATCCACTACTTGCGATAGCGTCGGGTAGAACCGTAGCCCATGCACGCGAGGACTGCAAAAGCTTCTCCCACGCAGCTCTGCCAGTCTTGACCTGCAGCAAACCTGTTGTTGCGGAACCGGCCTTTTCCAGACCCGGAGAGAAGCGGGTCTTGCTAAACGAGGTGGTAAACGTGAAATTCGATCGTATGCCCGAGGGGTTTAGGCCGAGTTCTCCGGCGCTTCTTGCTTTGGACTCCTGCCAGGGGTAGGAGGCTGTTGAACCCATCTGCCCGGTCTCATTGCGCTCTGATGAAGGCACAGAAACCTCAATGTTTAGCAGATAGCATTTCTGGGAACTTTCTTTCCTGTAAAGCACTTCTTTATTTTATTCCTTTTGCTTTCCTGCAATTTAGGACATCTGTAGGTATTAGAGATCTAATGTTAACAGAAATGTTCCCATGGTGATTATTCATTTGTATCTCAATATGTTTTTATGTTTAATCTGCGGACCCTTTGTTAAGTCAGATTATCGTAATAGAAAATTATGTGACTTTTTTAGTCAAAAGAAGTTAATTCCCTGCTATGGACTGGCTGCAGTCTTGGGAGTGGTGTCTTTGGGTGCTGAACCTTCGAGTCGGTATAGAGTTACATCACTGGAGCAAACTGGAAATCGCTGAGCTAATCGTTGTGGGCCCTGTAAAACTGGTTATTCTGGGGAACTGTGTTGGGGGGAAAAGGCAGAGATCGTAGATATTGGACTGGATCATCCACGGATCAATCCTGATTGACGCTGCCTGCATGTGTGCAGTCGGTCCTTGGTCAATAGGTGTTGAGTTGCGGGGAAGATAATGCTGTAGAAGACGGCTGTGACTTGGGTAATCGTAGAGGTTGGATTTTGGAAATGTGTGGCAAACAGCCCTGGTGCAAGGCTTGCTTTCTGTTAAAAATCTTGGCCTCTAATTAAGAGGGACCAGCCCTTCTCTGAGATGCTGGGTTTCGAGAAACCACTGCTGGGTTTCGGTAAGACCAACGCTGTGTCGTTGTCCAACTACTTACTTGTTGAGGTCTTTCTGTGCCTGAGGTAGAGGTGCTTTGGCAGGTCCTGCCCGTGCCTGTGGCAAGAATCGCGCGCCTTCCCTTCTGAAGCTTGAGATGGGTCCGGAGGATTTACCAGAACGCTTTCCTAAAAACCAAACAAAACAAAACAGCAAGATGTTGTCTGCTTTGTCACGTACGGCGTTTTCCATTGCGCTCTCTCTGTGAACAGATAGTCTATGCGGAGCGGCCTCTAACTGACAACAACAGATCTTTGGCTTCCTATGGCTTGAAAGATGGGGACGTGGTGATTTTGCGACAGAAAGAGACCGTAGAGCCACGGCCCTCCATCCGTTTCCCAGGTGAGAAAGGATTTGTGCTAACTTTTGCTCTGAGGGTGCCAAGATCTTGGTCTTTATCAGCCACCAACTCCATCCCTTGGCAGTCTCCTTTAGTACCTCGCTAGGCGAAACACTTAAGAAGGGAGGGCGGCTAGGGATGAGGCAGGAGGCTTTTAAAATGAGCAAAAGGGCTCATTATTTAATGTTTTTTTTTTATTCCAAGGAAGCAAATACCATTTTACTCTTCTTTTGGGGAAATACAGAGAAAGCGAGGAAGGTAACTGGTTCACAACAGCAGTTTCTGTAAAGGTGTGTGAATTTTCATACAACCGCCAGTTCCCTTCCCACTCAGTGGAATGGCGCAATAAATGCGGTCTGTGCAGCTCAGACGCATAAACAGGCTGTTGCGACATGCGCTCTGAATCTGTACCGTGACAAATACCCAGAGAAGCCACATCTTAACAAACCCAGTTACGCAATCGCACGTACACGCGAAAGACTCCTCAGATAACGTCTGAGTGGAGCCCCGCTCCTCCGTCCTGCCTTCTGCAGCGATTCCTCGCAAATCCCCGTCATAAAATATCGCTGGAAAAGATGGTACCACTGGCTGAGAAGGGCCTGGGAGCATTGCCTGAGGTCCTCGTCCTCCTGCCTCGGCTGGAGGATTGGTACCTGCAATGCAGGTCTGCAGAGATGTTACTTTTTTTTTTTTTTTTTCTCCCCTCCTCTACTTTTTTTTTAATCAGAGAGATTCAGAAGCACCTTAGAGACACTGGGTTTTAGCCTTGCAATCTCTCCAAGTGTTATTCACATTTGTGAAGCTGGAAATAACCACTCTTGCGATTCAGTAAGTGCATTTCAGGAGATAAAAAATGGGCCAGATAGAAGGCTAGAGTAGTTACATAAATACACGCTAGCATTCCTAACCCAGTAACCCGAGTACGTGGCCGTGCTTCCGACACGAATTGCTGTTCACGGAATCCGGTCTAATACTGTAGCATTAAGAGCGGCTCAGCCTTCCCGCAGTTTTTCCACTGTGTTTTTTCAAGCAGAGTTGTAAACGTGAAGCGCCGACGCATCTGACCTCTTTTTCCCTCAAGGTCTGCCGAGGATAGACTTCAGCAGCATCGCTGTTCCTGGGACATCCACTCAGCAGCATCAGCCACCAGCACAGCGTCTTCGCCCGTCGCCTCCCGATGCACCTTCGTTCCCTCAGGGTTTGGACAATCCGGCGCTGCTACGGGAGATGCTGCTTGCGAATCCCCACGAGCTGTCCCTGCTGAAGGAGCGCAATCCGCCCTTGGCGGAGGCGTTGCTCAGTGGAGACCTCGGTAAGTTGGGTTTTTCATCTGCGGGAGGTGGTTTTAAATCTGTTTGAGCTTGGTTCTAATAAAAGGCAGCCACAGGTTTTTAACTAGCTGGGATGTTCGCTGCCAAGTCATTGATGATGCTGATAAAAGGTGCTGGTTGGGAGTACTCGCGGCAGAGTTCCTCTCCTTCTAACAAGACTGTTTCTGGCAAGTTGGGCGTATTTCTCCTGCTTGGCTTTTTTAATATCTTCGATCCCTACTTTGAAATATTAGATGCACAGATAAGTCAAGTTCCTGTGAAGACAAGTGGCTCAGCTCCTGATTTTTAGGCTAAGGCTCTCCCAATGCACATTTTCTAATAACGACGTTGCATTTGCTGCATCCCAGAGTCCACTGAGACCTCAGTAGAGAGCAGTACACTATAAAACCAACTCTGTCCGTAATGATTAGGTGCTATGGAAGTGGACACCAGAAAGGGAGAGGAAACAGAACAAGCAAATAGTGGCTTTAGGGAGCTTTTTCAATAGGAATAGTCGTAAGTGGTTACGTTTCTGTTAATCTTGAAAGCGTTCACATATTTTGGGCACAGTTGAAGCCTAGTACTGTGTCCTTCACTTCTGCAGGTGTGGAGCTGATGTTGGTCCCTCATTCTTCACGTGATGAAAGCTTTGAATTCTGGTGTCCTTTCAGTATGAAAACAGCGTGGTGTTTTGGGCATCAGAAGTTGTGCTTCTAAACATCTGCAAGATGTTTAGTTAGGAAATAAATCCTGCTGAGTTTGGGGAAACAGATGAGGAGAAGGAGCTTCTAGCAGGAGACTTTTTTCCCCACTTTCAAGGTTACATCCTAGTGATTTCTCTCTGTTGAAGCTAGAAAGCAGCTTGCATGGATATTGTCAGCCTAATCCCTGGAAGTGTTCAAAAAACGGGCAGATGTGGCACTCTGGGACATGGTTCAGTCTAGTCTACCCTTGATTGGTTTAGTGTGGACTTGGTAGTGTAGGTTAATGGTTGGACTGGATGATCTTAAAGGTCTTTTCCAACCTAAACGATTCTATGATTCTATTTCATTTTTTAATTCTGACTTTAGTTCATATCCAGAGTTAAAACCATGTCCTTTGCGCCCTCAGGCTTCCCTGCGCTTCTTCAAAGCGCTGCGTCCATAGCTCAGGCGTTTTTTCCTATCACCTTGAGAAGATATGCTGCTCTTGGCACAGAAAATGAGAGGTTGAGCCCAAGACGCCCAGAACCGGCTCATCTGCCGATCTGTCTTGTCTTGTTGTGCACATTAAACTTTGAATCAGACGTGCATTTTTAGTCCCAAATCGCCGCAGTGGGCTGTCAGAAGGAAGTGGTTTGATCTGGTTATGCTCTCATCGTTCTGTACTGCTACTGTCGGTATTTGGGCACAGATCCAGTTCAGCTCTGGCGCCCAAATATACAGAGAGATACGTGCCATGTGACTGTGCTGGATGCACCACAAGCACTTCAGAAGGCACCTGCTATACAGAAGCCTAATTTAAAGAAAACTAAGAAGAAAACATACCCAATGCCTTCCTGAACATGTAACAGCCTTTGAGCCAGAGAGCTTCTTCATGGGAACTGCATTTCTGGAAGCAAACCCGCAACCTTCTGTGTTTACAGAACTTAAATTTATTGCCAAGTCTTTTGGGGAATGTACGTGATCACATCCAAGTAGTAAAAAATAGCCAGAGGCCATCCAAAAAGGGGGGATCTAAAATCTGTGTCCTTAAAAGGTGCGACTAGACTTTGTGAAGCGGGTGTTCCGCCTAGGACCTCTTGGTTTCAGTGGTAGGCATTCAGCTTTGGGGATTATAATCTCTCTGGCTTTGCCTATGTTGCTTGGGTTTAAAGTAAGTTTTGCTGTTAGCCTTTTTATGTCTTAGAATTTCGCATTTGCTCTTTGCTGGATCTACAGGCTGTTATTTTACTGGGGATTGCTGAGTGTAAAACGTGATAGCTTTTGCAAGCTGTTCTTGTAGCTGGGCCCTCTTACCGAGCGCTAGGAAGTCTCGCTTCTATCTCTGTCTGAAGCTTTTTCAAAACACACGTGCACTCGAGCTTCTCATTGGAATTGTGCAAGTTCTGTAATCCTGACTTCTGCTTCAGGTCTCATTTATCTGCTGGTTTTGCAGCTGGGTTTTTTTGAGTATTGTGTAGGCAGTTCTCGCTGCAATAGAAGAATGAATTCCTGTTTTAATGGCAGCTCTTTGTTTTAAATATTGTCGTCTTCACGTTTTTTCCATTTTTCTTCCATAAAAAAATGTCTATGCAAAGAAACGGAGTTTGATTGTGCTGTGTTTGGGTAGCAGACACAAGGCAAAAGAGCTCTGCTCAGTTGCTTTTCATCTCAGTGGGTTCCCAACTTTGCCTCCAATCCTTTGAGGTCCATCCATGCTGCCTTCGGATGAAGCCTTTTTTTGCGTGTGCTGCTGAGTCTACCCCTGAGTGCATGCTGGCATAAAAAGAAGGGTTTGCTGTGCCAGAACTTGATTTGCAAGGGTAATTTCCAGTAAAAAGCATTTCTGTATCTCCTTGTTACTGCAGAGAAATTCACCAGGGTGTTGCTGGAGCAGCAGCAGGACCGAGCCCGGCGGGAGCAGGAGAGGATCCGGCTCTACTCAGCTGACCCTTTTGATCTGGAGGCACAGGCCAAGATAGAAGAAGACATAAGGTAGCAAACCAAAGTTGCTTACAGGCTTTGGAGGTCTTCACGGTGCCTTTTTCCACGGGGCGCTTCCATCCATGGTGCTTTTTCCTTGGAGGATGCAAGGAGTGTGTTTAGATCCTGCCTTATGATGCTTGCACTCTGAGCTGCCTTTGCATGTGGGAAGGGTGGGAATCGGGGACACTTAGGCACACCCCATCCTGTTGAGCACAGGTGGTGAGGTGGCAGCACCACTGTTCGTGCGTGTGATGTCCCAGAGCTGTCTACGCGGGTCCACCCTGAAACAAGAGCGCTTGTGGAAAGCACTTAGCTGAGATCCTCTCCAGAGGTGGCACTTGGGCTGTGTTAGTCTCTAAGCTGAGTTCTCTGCACAGCAACGTGGTGTCATTTCTCCCAGCTGCCTTCGAGACTTGGTTTCGCATACTGCTAATTGTTTTGTCTCTCTGGCTAATTCCAGACTCTGAGCATCACTGCTGTCAGAAGAGATGTTGTGTAGAAATATGTTCCGCTCATCAGCACTCGCTCCCTCTTGCTGTCTTCCAAATGTAATTGCATTGGGCTGAGGCTAGATTTCTTAAATTGAGTGATAAATCCTTGAGTCAGAACACGACTGATGTTTTTTTCCCCCAGTAAATGTCTTTGTGATACAGGCTCATAGTTGGTCATAACCAAAATCCATTTGTGGTAAGAGCCGTTCCTGTGTTATGACTGACAAAGTGTTGGTGCCAGATAAATGCTTAGCTTAGCAATGCAGAAAAATATACATTTGTAGATAGCAAAACATTGCTCGGAGGCACAGGAATTATTTCCTTCCTCCATAGATGAGGTGGCAGATAAAGGTGATGTGCCCAAGGCTGTGCAGCTGTTAGGGAACAGTTTGGGCATCTAGCAGTCCCCAGATTTCACACCCCACTTAGTTTCTCTGAACCCTTTGCTTAATTAGATGCACTCTGCACAAGATTGTTTGGAAACTGTTGCAAACATCATATTTTTTGAGACACATCTCTGTCCTTCAAGCGGAGAGAGTGTCAGGCACAGAGAAAACAGAATAATGGATTTGACAAGAAAACAAACTGAAGATTAACCACTGTCTATCCGATTTAAGCTTAAATAATAAAAGACAGGATGTGTGGCGCTCTGTTTTGCGAGTATTTGAGGCGGGACGGCCTGGCAGTGGGGTAGCAGGGTGCTTTAGCTCCCAAGCGAGCCAGGTCTCGGATGCCGTTCCCTGTTTTCCTTCCCCACCAAGAAACCACGTCTACCCATCTTGTTGTGGGAAGGCTACCATGGTACAGAAGATGGGTAAGAGAGGAACTTGGGTTTTTTTCCACTTCCCCTACTGAGGAGGAAAAGGAAATGGCATCAAAATTGGAAGCCCTTCTCCCTTTTTGGTAGATAAAGCTATTTCGGATGCAGTCGCTCCGAATGCCCACCACTTCCAAGATTACTGTAGGGGCTGTGGTGGAGTTCTTGAAGAGCGTTTCTTCTGTAGTCTTGAATTTGCAGCGAGGGCTTGTGCTCATGGTGGTGGTTTTGCTGTGGTTTTGCTCAGCTCCCTCCCTTCCTATGCCTGGAAAAGGAAAGATACCAGGGAAACGTTGGAGGATTTTAATGTTCAGCTGCTGTGTGGGATTCCAGTGTTGTAGCTACTGGCAACATCTTCATCGTGCGCCCTCGGTGCATTATTTTAGAGTGACTAATAAATACGCAGGTTTTTCACTCACGAGTTCTCCAGGTTAACTCTGTGGTAACAGGTTTCTGTTGCAAACAGAAGGTCGGCTGGTGCTGTCGGGTGCGTTAGGCAAGGTGCTGGAAGGAGCAGTCTTCATGGCTGCTGGGGAGCGACTTGGTGTCTCTGGATTAAGCCAAGATCGTTACTAGCAGTCCCTCTGCTGAGAAGGCTACAATCAGCTGACGAAGCAGTCTTTGTGGCGGTTTAAACATGCTGTTTTTTTGGCGAGCTGCAGCCGATGGGATTACCAGATCTGTTTGTAAGTCAGAGGGATGCTCATAAGGTTCAGCTGATGGAAGATCTGATTTTTCTCTCTCTTCTCTATTAAATTCAGGCAACAAAACATTGAAGAAAATATGACGATAGCAATGGAAGAGGCCCCCGAGAGTTTTGGCCAGGTGGTGATGCTGTATATTAACTGCAAAGTCAATGGACATCCAGTGAAAGCCTTTGTTGACTCAGGTGAATTGCCCCCATTTTTATCTTTCTCTGCGCCCTCCTTTCCCTCACTGAGGGAGACTGTAAACGCTCCAGAAGTTTTGCCCAACAATTCCCTAATAAAGCACTGCATGACAAGATTTTGAAGCACCTAATTAAACCCGAGAGCAGCCTGGGCATTAAGGCAAACAGAGCAAATTGTTGCGAGAAGCAGCGTGCGTGAGTGCTTGAACACTCCAGATCAAGGCTTCTGTGAGAATTTCTGGGTCTGCGATGCTAGAAAGGTCGCTGCCATGTGTGTATCTTACCTCATTTTACAGATAGGGGGGATTTCACATGCCTTTAATGCTGTGCTTCCCATCCACAGCCTTAAAGGGAAAGTACTTGGGGTTATTCCAGTTTTACAGTAATATGTACTTTACCGTCAGTGCTGATCTGTGTATACACGGTCAATCCAAAGCAGTGGGATTCACGGGAAGCCTTTATGCCCTAATGCAGTTGCTGATGCAGTGTGGTTTCCTGGCTGCTGAGTGCAAGATCTTAAGCCCTTCCAGGAGAGAACTGTAATTTGTTGATGAGCTGTCAGGATTTAACACCAGTTCTGTTGCTGGTAGGTGCCCAGATGACCATCATGAGCCAAGCTTGTGCTGAAAGGTGCAACATAATGAGGCTGGTAGATCGGCGATGGGCTGGCATTGCTAAAGGTGTAGGGACGCAGAAAATAATTGGCAGAGTGCACTTAGGTAAGTACTGGCATTCTTTGGGCAACTTTAGTGGCAGTTTGACTGCATTTCCCGCAATCTTGGCACCGAGGAGTATCTGGTTTAGTGTTGTAATTGTTAGAAACTCCTGCAGGGTAAAATGAAAAGTGCATCTGCAATATGTTCATTTGACTCGGGCACAACACACTGGCTTCTGTCTCATTTAATGCTTTTTTAATGGAATTACCTTAACACTTTTAGGTGAGGGAGTCCTCAGCTCAGAGGATGTGTGCACTCTAGGTGCAAAAAACAGGGCTAATGTGAAATTAGGAAGGATCCTTCCTGTTTGGGGTGGGACTGTTGGGCAGTATGAGTTGCTCAGGAAGGGTTCCAGTACAGTGGAGTGTTTCATATTCCTTTGGGAAGAGAAGGCTGTCTGTGCTCTTGTGCAGGTTTTCTGGATGAGAGACGATTGTCCTTACTGTCTGAAAAACTGATTCTCTTCGCTGTTGTTCCTTTTTGGACTTGTGCTCTAACAAGCTATATGCAGCTCCTCTAGCTCAGAGGGTTAGATAAGCAGTACTTCAGGCTCTAGAGCAGGTCAGCTTTTAAAATAATTAACTTCTTGAGTTAATTCACCAGTACATCAGAGTTCTGGTTTCAGATTTACCCAGCAGGTTTGTGCAGACCTTTCCCAGGAGATGGTAGAGCAGAAAGTAGATTTGTTGTGCTGTAGCGTTGCGAGGTGGTAACTTCTCTCCCTTGCGTTTCAGCTCAGGTCCAGATTGAAGGGGATTTCCTGGCGTGCTCCTTCTCAATCCTTGAAGAGCAGCCCATGGACATGCTTCTAGGACTGGATATGCTGAAGAGGCATCAGGTATCTTTTGAAACAGTTACTGGCTCTTCCAAATTAAGTGCTAAGCGCAACATAAATGCCGTGCCTGTGAATTTATTAGGATTTTTCAGGGGAGAGTTGATGGTGGGTTATCTTCCGGCCTGTTACGAGAGAAGTACATACGCTACATACGTCATGGATAGCTATAGGGTGTCTGGCTGCTCCCTGAAGATTTTTGCTCTCATCAAAGATGCTCAGAGCTTTCCAACTGAATGATTTATTACCAATCAAATCATACAGAGCCCTTTGCTTATAGCTGGTGCCACTTTTCTTGGCTGCTATGAGCTGTTTCCTTTGGAAATGGATTGTTTAACCTTGTTTCTCCTCCTTCTCTGGGAATTGACCGGCTCTTCTGCAGGCCCCTGATGTCTCGATGCTCTTTCACAGTGTTCGATTGATCTCAAGAAGAATGTACTAGTGATCGGCACGACTGGCTCGCAGACCACTTTCCTCCCGGAGGGCGAGCTCCCAGAGTGTGCCCGGCTAGCCTATGGGGCCGGGCGGGAAGACATGCGGCCGGAGGAGATTGCAGACCAGGAACTAGCAGAAGCAATACAGAAGTCCGTAGAGGAAGCAGGTACCAGGAGGAGCCCAGTTGAAATATTAATCTGCATAGTTTTCTTGCTGTGCGTCAGGATGTCTGTCAGCAGTCCTCCTTCTCAGCTCCTAGGGGATACATTCTAATCCTGCATCAGTGAGTAAATGGTGGAGAGAAAGGGGCTTTCTTCTTGCTCGTGGCCTCTAATTGCACTTCTCTCTTCCTTTCTGTACAGCAAAATCCGTCCACATGAAGGCATTTGGGGGTGCTTGCTGTTTAATTTGTGCTCTCCGTGCAACTTCCTACCTGCTCTGGTTTCTTGGCCTTCGAAGGTGTGGTGGTAAATGGTTGCCTCTGGCACCCGTTCACCTGGGTCGAGGTGTAGTGCCTAGTCAGGGACGTGGTTCGGTTGTGTGATATTTTAGCAGTCTCACACGCAGACAGTGTTGTGGAGACTTCCGCAAACCCTGTTCTTAATAGCTGCAGCATATAAAAATAGAGGAGCTGTAGCACTAAGTACAAATCTCTGGACAAGAGTTTATTTATGACAGTTTTTAGAAATAGTACTATTTCAGCATTTTTTTTCCTTAGAATGGTTCTTGTGCCCTTGGAAGGTGAATTGCCTCCCTTACTGAAGATAGTACTGTTGCCCTAAATTTCAAAAGAAGCTGCTGAATTCACATCCTAACGTATATCATCAGCCTTAAATGTGATCTGCAAAGAGAATTTTCACCCTCCCCATAGAGGGTTTGTTCCTTGTGCTTCTGGAATCCGTGAGCCGCACAAATGCAGACTGACTGGGCTACGGAGGATCTTGGTAGCTGCAAAATTTAGTGAAGTGGAGATGCCAAAACAGCAGAACGCTGAGCTATGAGCCAAACTGTCTGAAACTCAGATTTTCTGTTTAACTCCTCCCTTAACTTCAGCGTAAGCTTTTGCCTAAGGGAAAATGTCATTATTTTTTCCCCACTATTACAGCGAAGCTGTGAATACCTCACAAAGTGTATTCCTTAGGCCTTTTCCAAAACTTTTAAAGCTAACATTTTCTATGCAAGTGTTTTGTAGAGATTTCTGAGTTTTACTGCTAATTTTTCCTCTGAAAGCACACAGTAAGATTCTGCTTCCCACACACACGCAAAACTCTTTGCTGGGTCATGTTTAAGCTGATAAAGTTGACTTCTTCAACATTTTTATTGCTGATTTTTTAAGACTCCGGCATGCCCCTATTGAAAATTGAAGTGCAATAACCAGATTTAACTCTCTCTATATTATATAACCAGGTGTAATGTACTGATGTTTTCTTTAACACTTCCCAATTGCTGCCTGATAGTCCAAAGAGTAAGCAGTGACTTCCTTGCAAATAACTAAGTTGTTTACGTTAAGGGGAGCACGGGACTGCACTTATTGGTCCCTTTGACCAATTTTCTTCCATTCTAAGAATATAAGTTTTCCAGAGATGCAACAACCTTGAGAGGAAGGCCTGGCTTTAATGAATCAGTAAGAAATGGTTTACATGTTTGACTTTTAAAGCCTAATTTGAAGGTTTATTAACTTAAGTTGCAGCAAGGAAAAGAGAAACACAAACATAGATTTGACCTTGCCCCGTCAGGTTTTGACATAGCTAAAGGTTGGACTCGGTACCTTGGGCTCATGTCTCTTCACATAGCCTGGCAGAGAAAATGTGCAGATGTAAATATTAGTTCTTTTCCTATTAAAACTTTGAGCCTGATGAAGCCTGGGTTGGTTTTTGCAATCTCTCTCCATTTTGGATGAGACTTTGCAGACACCATAGTTGGTTGGACTTAGTTCTCTGCTGAAAGGGTCAAATAAAAAGCAAACCTTGGCCCAAAATATATGAGTCTTTACAATAAAAGCATTTTAGTCGAGTGCTTTAAAATGAAAAGTGCCTAACATGATTTAAATCAAAGCTGCTTATGTACCGATACAGTTCTAAAGACCACGTGGCTTTGTTTAGACTAATCAGCAGTCTACTGTTTTCCATTGATGCTGAGCCCTAGAGGAATGTAAAAGATTTATGAGAATAGGAAATCCATTTTGCGTATTCACTTCATTCTTGTAGTACACCCGTGCACAAAACTAAGGTAGGTCTTGTTTAGATTGACTGCGTGTAAGTCTTAGGCATATTACAAGCCTCTGGCTCACAGGGTGTATCCTGAGATGTCAGAATATTAATGTATACCCTCTTCCTGTCTTCCAAAACTATTAGCTGCTGCTAGATGGTACCAGGAAAACCAAGTGAAAGAACAGAAAACTGGAGAGGGAGAGAACATAATGTGGGACCGAGGAAGCTCAGCTCCCCGCAAGGCCTGTGTTCTTTTATAACAGCTTGAATTTTTGCTGCCTTCTGGTAGATGGGACAACAGAAATCACTGCGTACATCTGTAGGCTATTAAAGTTCTCATTTTGAATGCACCTGAGTTATTCTTGAGCTTTATTTAATCCCCCGAAGCCCACTTTAGCAAGCCTCGTGATTTCTGTCAGCTGACTTGCTGGTGTTTCAACACCTACGGCAAGGCAGCTGAGGTGGCAGTGGAGTCCTGGTATGCTTTACTGTGATCTAGATCCTCCACATCTGCTTCATTTATGTCTGCGAGCTTGCTCTTTTCTGCCAACACGCAGTGTTTTCCCCACCACCACCACTGGTAATGATTCTGTGATTATGGAGGATTTACAAAACTGGCAGCAAAACTACAGTTGCTTTAGGAGGAAGTGTATTCAGGTAGCTTTACCCCATATACAGCTTTTCATCCAGACAGCCTTGATAGAAGAAAGGCGCCGCCACCACATACGCAACTCAGGCTTTTCCTAATACAGAGAGGGATTTATCCCTGATGGTGCACTTTGTGGAGAAGAGTTTGTTCCCGGTGTTAGCTGGATCAATGTCCTTGATGGGGCTGGGATTCAGCTCCTGTAGGTACCTGGGAGGAGGATGACAGCGGGTCTCAGAAGGATGATGCTGAGGAGTGCTTGGCAGAATACCAGCTACTTCTGCTGTCTGAATGACTGCAAATCCCTGATGTGTTTGACTGATCAGGCCCTTATTACTGATCCACTGAGTCAAAAGACAGTTCTGCTTCCTCTCTAAATGATTGACTTGGGAGCAAGAGAGCGTGAATGTAATCCTACCACGTAGAAACAGAAAAAGATCCCTCTGGTTTTTGTGTGTATCCTGTGTCACAAGCCTCTTTGCCACCCTTATGAAAGATGAGCAGTCTGAAAATCTGCAGGATAATTCTGGCTTTTTAATACTCCAGCATCGCCAAGTTGTTGTAGCTGCGTTAAGTCCAGATGTGCAGCCAACAGAAGGGATTGCTTTGTGCAACGGCTGCTGTATTTTATACCAAGGTGTATTGATCAGAGGTGTGGTATCGCAGCATGTAGTGCGCAATTTTTTTTTTAACGGAAAGTAAAAGAAACAAATAGCTGAGGTGAAAAAGGCAGATCTCTTCCATGGTGTGGAACTTAAAGGAAATCCTGGCTGTACACGTGAGCATGGTTAGATGTCCCACAGTACACCTGGGTATCTGTAAAAAGAGAAAGACTTAAGGTAAAACAGTGGTGTATGTTTAAGACCACCGAGTTTGGAGGCCTTGGAAAGGGAAAGGGAACAAATGCAACAAATCATGCAGCACAAAATCTGGATCGCCGTTTGGATATCTGACGCTGGGCAGAGTAGGGCTTTAATGGAAGAACAGGCGCTCTTACAGCAAAGGTCATGTTAGTGATTTAACGAGAGCATGAGAGCTGACACATCAGCAAGATTAGACTACTAGCAAGATAAGTTAACTTGTTTAATCTGTCCTGATAATGAGACCCAGTGTTTAGTGCTACTGACAGAGATCTGCAGTTCATCTGTTCTCCGTGTGGAGAAGGAAACAGTGAGCTGGGTTTGACTTCTGGCTGTCTCTTCCTTCGCTTTGCTCTTCCCAGCCTCAGGCAGCAGTTCCTTTTGAGGATTTCTGCTTTTAACCCTAGGATCTTTATGCTTCCCTTTTGCAGCAAGCTGATGTTTGCTCACCTTCTCCTCCCTGTGATGCCATCACAAGGCAATAGCCGCTGGCAGCACAGTCCAAGAATTGTGATACCCTCTTAATTCTCATTTCCCTAAAACATGGCTCCTGAATATCTTCAGCTGCACAGAGAACAAACCGGTACGGTGCTAGACACACGCCTTGTGCTGCATATATTTTATCAAGCATGTAGTATCGCCCACGGACCACTCTGCAGCATAGATAGTACAGAAGAGCCTTTAAATTGTTCTCCAGCAGAGTTATTTTTGACTTGACGTAACGAGTTTCCCAGGCAGAACTCCTTCTGGAATGCAGCGAACGTGAGGAGCTCCTGCTGCTCGTACGCTGTCTTGATGGACAGTCGGGAGGGGAGCTATGAGGTCGCAGGACTATAACCATGCATGTGGTGTGCTCTGAATGCTAACACAAGTTTGGTGTGTTTGTTTCCTAATCCAAACAGAACGTCAGAAGCCTTGATGCATGTAGTGTGTGTTTACTGCAGCTGGAGTGGGCCACAGACCAGGTATTTATAGCCGTTGGTTTAGAAGTTTTCGCTACTGCAGTGAAAACAGTGGTTCTTGTGTGTCATAACTACTTCTTTCTTTCTGTCTTCTGTTAGAGAATAGTGACAAAGAAACTACCTCACTGGGAATGCCCTCATTACCAGCTTCTGATGGGTTTCAAAATCCAGTCCAGTCTTCAGGACTAAATTCCAAGATCTGTAATCCCACAAATCAATTACTTGATCGTTCTGTCTCTGCCCCTGCTTCAATTTGCTCATCCGAATCTAGCCTCGCAGAGCCCATTGATCCTAGAGCCGTCAAGTCTTTTGAGTCTTCAACTGAATGCCAGATAACCCCAGAAAAAGAACATCCTCTCTTATTACAGCATCTTTCCAGTAATGCTTCCTTGGCAAACAACGACCCTTCTCCCCAGACAGGGGAGGTAACCTGTTGCAATCCAGCTTGCCTTTCACAGAAGACACTCAAAGAAACGTTTGTTGCTGACAGTCTAAAGGAACGTAATGCTGAAGAACAAGACCGTGGTCAGGAACATCCTTTGGAAGTGACAAAAGAAGATAGTTTGGCTGACACCGCTGCTAAGCACGGGCAAAATAAAGATGTATGTCTGTCTTCAGAACAGGAGCAAAAGCATGAGCTTCCTGTAGACCATCAGATGTGCAAAGAACCAGAGAAGGAACATCTGGAGGAGCAAACCGAGACAACTGACCCAGAACCTCCTTGCCACATTGGTGAGGTTGAGAAACCTGTTGTGGAAGAAGCCAGCCAGCCAGAAAATCCTCCTATGGAAATGAAAGAAGATGGACAGGAGAAAGCAGGTCTTTCCTGGGTGAAAGGGAGTATCCAAATGTCAGCCTCCTGTAGCTGTACGCATACGGAAGCCTTCATGGAAGTAGATGTAGTTGAGCAGTCTGTAGCTGAAGCGCACAGCTCGGCAAGCGAGCAGAAGTGGCAGGCTGAGAACAGAAGTATACCTGACCTGAACTCGGACGCCTTTTCTATGGAGGTGGAGTCGCTGAAGTCTGCATCCTCCTTGAGTGATCCGCTTTCCACCGGTGATGTCCTGCAGTCTAAAAGCACCGGTGAAATTCCTGCAGAGTATGATGAGTTGTCTGATTTGGCAGCTGAAGACAGCTCTACACCCTCCAGCATCCATCAGCTGGACATGGATCCAGGAAGACCTTCAGAAGAGCCATGTTTGTCTCTAGCATCAGCCTTGAAAGAGCTGCACAAACTCTTGATTATCAGTCAGAAAGGAGAGTGTAAAATCCTTGCCTCCGAAGAAGTCTCTCAGCTAGAAATGGTTCACAAAGAGCCAGCAGCACAACAAAAGAGGCTTTCTGAAGATGAGCAGAAAGGCTCAGATCCAGCCAGCCAGGAACAGAGCTGTTCCTTGTATAAGGTGAGGTCTGAAGGTGGAAGAGCAGAGGAGAAACAGCCTTGTGATTCTGGCATAGAAAACATCAGTATTGGGTCTGTCAGTCACATGCAGTCAGCTCTCGGAGAAGGTGCTTTAGAGATTCAGAAGTTTTCAGGTAAGAGTGATTTGGTCGTGGTGAATTCTGCAGCAACATTTGACCAGGAACAGAGCTCTGAGCAGGCGGAGGTTTTGGTAGAAGGTTATCAGAGTCCAACTAGTCCGACTTCGGAGCAAAATGCATCCATTTCCTCTGTACCTGCTTTGGATGAAGGTGCACCTCAGGATACTCAGAGCCTGTTCACAGGAGCACCTGGGAGAAGCAGCAGTTCTACTCCTGAAGGTCCGTGGCTGTTGGGTGGGTGTGAGGAACCACTGGTGAGCCCACCAGCTGGCTCTACTGGACTTACCTCGGGAGCTTCTCCACCGCCTGCTTTCCCTGCAGCTGATGTTGATCGGATCCTCAGCGCTGGTTTTACCACGCGGGAAGCCCTTGAGGCTTTGGAACAAGCGGATGGAAATGCAGATCTTGCTCTTCTCATTTTGCTAGCCAAGAGTATCGTTGTTCCTACGTAACTACGGAAGAGGTAGCTGACTGGGGTGTCTTTTCTTTTAAAGGTCGTATCTAAATTATATACCATAATGTACAAGCAGAATGTTGAGCCAGATTTTTTTAATTATTTGCAACCAAAGTAACTTGTCTCTTCTGTTTCACTCATTAGATTTGGCCTTTTAAAAGAAAGAAAACGTCCTAGCATTGTGTGGACAGGATAGCTTTTAATTATGCATACTGGATTAAAATTAATGTTTTTATTTAAATGTACAATTTTAGAATAAGCTCCAATGTTACGAATAAAAAGCAGAAGCCATTAAGATCACCGCCCTGTCCAGCGCAAAGCAGATTGTGAAGTGAATTGACCGTGGGCGTGCACAGGACAGGAGGTGCACGCTGAGCTCGGTATGGCGCAGACGTGAAACAGCGCTTGTCCAAACGGACTTTGTGGATTTGTTTTAGCTCTCCTGCGCTTTGTAACCCAATGTCCATCTGTGACGCTGATGAAACTATTATGGCAGCTACTAAAGGTATGTAGATGCCCACAGACATGTAAGACTTTGCAAGAGGAGTGAGGGGTGGAGGGGGTTTTTGGAAGCGTGCGCTTTTTGTGTGTGCACGGGGAAGGCTGATGCTTATTTTTGCCAAACCCTTTTATGCTCTTGGGCCAGTGTGTTCAAGTTTACAACATGGGGATAGAAGAAGGGAAGGGATAGAATTTGGTGCTACCAAAACTTAAGAGATGTTTTAACTTATTTGAAAATGTGCTGATATTAATTGTAGGTGGGGGGGAAGGGAAAAGGAGTATTTTGCTTTTTTTTTTTTTCTAGCCTTGCCCACATCGTGTTTCCCCCGTACAAAAGAACAAACTCAACCACTTTAAGGCAAAACCTTAAAGATGAAGTTGTTTAACAAACTAACCACGTGTTACGGCTCTTAATCCCCCTCTGCCCCTGGAAGAATGAACTGTTTCAGTGGATGCATTCTCTATGCACTGAGCGTGGGTGTGATCAGAAGAATGAAGAAATCTGCTCTGCACTAGTTTATCTCGATGTTTGGGGATGATCAGCCTCTCAGCTGTGGAAATGCAAACTGCGGAAAGCCTGCAGCGGCTGGTGGGGTACTAATTTAATACCTCTTAAAGAGCGAGGGCTCCCCAGTAGGGTTTGTGAAACAAATGCCCTGACATGGCTTCTGCATTATAACCATCGTGGCCTTCTGGGAAGTCCCTGGTGAGCAGCCTGCATGATGAGGACTCACCGAGGCTGTGCTGTAGGAAGTCCTTTCCAGATGCTTTTTTTTTGGGGATGAACTACTTTGTGATGCTCTGCAAAGCCCCAAAATGCTGTTGGGGCTGGGGAAAGGGAGGGAAGGTGTGGCTGAAACATGATACCAAATTTTAAGTAGGAACTTTTATTTAGTCCCACTTGCAAATCTCAGAAGTGGCTTTGTGTCAAGTGTTCATCTTGAACGTTCTGCTTTGAGCTAAACCTGGAGTGATGGGTCAGCAGCGGCTGGAAACATGTTTTTGTTCATGGCTTTCATTTGTTGTTATTGTTGTCTCAGGCCTGTGTTCCTGGTGTTTTGTTTTCCCTGTTGCTTAGCAGATTTGCCTACGTTAGGCTTTTTTCATGCAGGGTGGCATTTAAAAACAACATAAATTTGGTTTCATCTGTGAACTTGCAGGAGTTTCTGATGTCACTCAGCGGTGGTTGTCAGATTTTTCTTAGTCGCTTGGGCAGCCGGGAGATCCTTTAGAATAACGAAGAGCTTTAAGGTATTCCTCTGTCTGTTGAACGGAGCTTCTGCAGGAGCTGTGAACATACCAGCTAGGCCTGGGGCTCCCAGACACATTTAGCTCATGTCCCACTGCTTGTGATGCCAGCAGCAGGCGTTGCTCCATGCATATGTAGGAAGCAGTGCTCGGCTGTTTGGAGACCCCTTGCCAGAGCAGCATTGAGTAATTCACTTGAGGCTGTGTTCAAAATGAGTTACTGAGGCAAGACGACAGCTTTATGATCTTTACCGTGCAGGTGGTCACAGTTACCCCTGCTGAAGTTTTTTAAATACTCTCCGTACAATGAGCACCTCAACTCAGCGAAAGCCCCCTCTGTAAAGGGTAACGCTTGGGGTGGTACAGGAGTACAGTGTCATCAGATCTCTCTCTAGAAGCCTTAGGAAATAAGATATATTAGACCCATTCCTATCTGCATCTGGTTCACTCTCAAAAGCAGCAACAAGAACGAAGCTCCCGGCTCTCTCCCATCTTCAGTCTAAATGTCCGAATCTGCTCCTGATTCACGCCACGGGTCTCAGTGGGGTGGTCCTGGGAGCAAGCCCCCATCTGGTACGCAGGTACCAGCTGCGGGTTGGCCCTCTTGGATGCACGAGAGCTGAATTTGCGCCCTTAGCCTGCAGGTTCATCTACTGCCAGCTTCTTGAAGCGTCGGATGTTAGCCATTCAATGTTATACCCTTTTCGTATTTACACTTTTATGTTTTTAGAAGCAATTGCTAATAGCTAGACGAAGTACTGCTGCTTTGCACCAAACTGGTTAAAGGCTCTAGTTTTATGGCCACGTTTACTCAGACTGCATATACAGAATTTATGCTATAAAAGCTTTAGAGCATCAGCCAACTTGCTTCAATGCTCAGTTTTTGTCAAATATAATTTTTGAAATCTGCCCTTCTGCCAAAGCTGTACTGAAGCATTTATCAATACTGATAGAATTTCCTGGGTAACTTTCTCTGAACTGCTAGAAACAAAGCCTGACCCCCAACTGATAAATGCTTGTAAAACGATTTTATCAAGTTGGTCCAAGCCTGGTGATTTAAATCTCAATTTCAGAGCTTTTGAGTGAATGGCTGCCTGCTGCTAAATTGCAGAATAATTTTTTTAGGAGCAAGATTTATGTTGGAGAAAATCTGGGCAGTGGTGAGTATTTAAGGTTAAAATAAAATGTAATAGAACATGTATTTAGCAAACGCTGTCTAAAAGTTGTCTTCTGTTTTAACGTGCATGTGTGTCCTCTCTGCTGTATGCACACATCCTTTGCTCAGCCTTTAGCAATCCCTTAACTGGTCTCTGCGCTTACCTGGCCCACAAAATGGGAATACTTCTATTTAAGCAGGGATGGCAGACTGCTACAGCTTGTTGGCTTAGAGCAGGGGATAAAATTAATGCCAAAAGCTGTTCAGGTTTCCAAGGAGCCATGTACCCTGGCCTAAAACAAGGCTCTTCACTCTGTTCTCTTCCCCCTCCTCATTCATCAGTGCTCCAGTGTACTAATGTCACATCAGCTTAGCAAAATTATTTCGGTATGAAAAGTCCATCTATAGAGAATAAAGCAACACTCGGAAGCTGCTTCATAAAGATGCCGGCACCTGTGGGGACCCTTGTGGGTCTGTAGAGCTTGTTTCTGGGTGTTTCCTGAAGCCACTGTGGTCATGTAGCTTGCTGCTGGTTTCTGAGATGTATTTTTTTCCTTAAAAGATACTGAAGGAATTTATTCGGCCTCTCGCTGAATGCATGTTTCTGTACCTGAGGCTCTAGGTGAGTTTAGAGGTGATGTTTAGTGAAATACAGACATCTGAAAGTTTCTGGGCACAGATAATTCTGACAAGAGGAGGAAATACTTCCTGGTGATGGTCCCTGGCAGGTCTACCTGCTGCTGGACAGAGCTGAGCTATGCTGCGTTATCGTGACAATCTCTGCCTTGTTGCTACGTATGTTCAACTTTCTACGTAGACACTTGGTCTCCAGGACTGTTAACCTTGTACCTCCTAGATATGGTCCCTTCTTTCTGTCTTTGTCTCTCCCTCTTGCCGTATCCTTTCCTCAAAAGTAGCAATATTTTAAGTGTACTTGCTGAATGCTTAACTTCCAGATAAGTTTTCTTTAAAACACTATGCCATTTACAAATAAAAGGAGGAACAGATCCTAGAGGTTTCTTCACCAGACTTGGACTTCTTGCCAAATGGCTCCCCAGAACTCTAACGTGAATTCAAAGAGGAGAAATCAAGAGGTATTTTTGCCTGCCTCTCTCGGAAGTCAGCTTGGGAAATGGGGTCAGTTCCGTGTACATCATTCCCTTCTGAAGCGTTCAAGAGATTTCTTCCTGCACTGTGTAGATGAGGCTTAGTCTGTGATCCAAATGCGTAGCTGTTTGGGTTACTCTTTGACTGATGCTTTTTAGCTTGAGTTTTACCAACTCACTTAAGGAACTTGAGGGAATCAATACTCAGGAATCCTAAAGCTGGTTGCATTTGTGTCATTTACTCTTCCGGGCTGAACATACTGCGGTTGTCCTCACAGGTGGCTGAAGGGAGGAGTGGTTGTGTCATCAGGGAATGGGATGTGGTTCTGCCCAAAGTAATACACACTTGATTCTTTTTTTGATTTTTTTTTTAATACTGGGGGACTGTTTCTCAACAAAATTGATGTGTTAAAGAAATTTGATATTTAAAAAAACAAAACGAATAAACACTTTATGATAATGTTGCTTGATTGGTCTGTCTGTATTTCTGAGTCAGCATCTCTGCACTCAAATCCTTTTCTGGCTTTTTTTCCAAAGCCAATAGAATTTCCTTAACATAAATGTTGCCATTTTGAACATAACGAGTAGATATCTGTGGCTAAAATTATTCCAGTTGGCAGGGCCTGAGAACAGGCGTGAGAAATTCGCATATTCCCCTTCTACGGAGACGGGCTGTTGAATCCTTCAGGCAGGACTTGGAAGAGCATTGGAGTACGATACAAAAGGTAGCACTTGGCTGCAGCACTGTCTGCTGGAAAAACCAATAGGCACTCTTCATGTCTCCTGTGTAAATACCTCATTTCCAGCCAGATGAGGGGACAGTTGGTTTTATTTTCCTGGAGCTGGAAGCTAATGTCTTGGGACATCCAAAACTCGGCATTAATATCCCTAGAAAGCTCATGACAGTTTTAGTTAGAAATAACTGTTTACAAGTCCCATTCTCTTAGTGTCATGTAATAGAACAGGTTTTGGAAAGGGGGAGTAGGG